CGGGCTTACATTCTATAGGAGGTGGGGTGTAAAACACAATAGGACAGGAATTTGCAATCAAATAAGGTCTCCCTTTAGGAGAGAGCAAGAGACAGGTATGTGAGGTAGAGGTTAGTCTGGGAGGCCATAAGCTTTCCTAAAGAGATGGGTTTTAAGGCGCTTCTTAAAAGATGCAAGACTAGGGGAGAGTCTGATGACGGTAGGCAGGCTATTCCATAGGAAGGGAGCCGCCCGCGAGAGGTCCTACAAGCGTGAGTTGGCCGTACGGGTGCGAACAACGGACAGGAGGTGGTCACGGGCAGAGCGGAGGGACCGAGAAGGGACATACCTATGGATCTGTGAAGAGATATAAGAGGGGCTAGAATTGTTCAGTGCTTTATAGGTGTGAATTAGTACCATGAATTAACTCCTATAGCATAAAGGAAGCCAATGTTAGGCCTGACAGAGGGGTGAGCTATGAGAGAACCAACTAGAGAGGAAAATCAGTCTGGCGGTAGCGTTCATTATGGACTGTAGCGGTGCAGTACGGCTTTTGGGAAAACGAATCAGGAGAGGGTTACAATAATCCATGCGGAAATTACTAGAGCATGGACAAGCTCCATGGTAGCATCTTGCATAAGAAAGGGGCGGTTGCGGGCTGTTTTTAAGATGGAATCTACAGGATTTGGCAACATACTGGATGCGAGGCTCAAAGGTGAGGCCAGAATCAAGTATGAAGCCAAGACAGGACGCTTGCAAGGATGGACTTATGTGGGTACCACTAACTTGAAGGGAGAGCGAAAGAGGAGGATCAGTATTAGGAGGAGGAAAGACAAGGAGCTCAGTTTTAGAGAGATTGAGTTTCAGAAAGCGGGAGGACATCCAGTCAGAGATGGAAGAAAGGCAAGCAGTGACATGTTGCAGGACGGCAGGAGAGAGGTCCGGGGAGGAGAGATATACCTGGGTGTCATCAGCATACAGGTAGTAGTGGAATCCAAAAGAGGTAATAAGTTTGCCAAGAAAGGCAGTATAAGGAGAAAATAGAAGGGGACCAAGTACAGAGCCTTGGGGGACTCCAACCGAGACAGGACGAGGGGAGGAGGTGTCATTAGAAAAGGAGACACTGAATGAGCGTTGGGAGAGATAAGAGGAAAACCACGACAGGACAGAGTCACAGAGACCAAGCGATTGAAGAGTTCGATGAAGGAGAGCATGATCAACGGTGTCAAAGGCAGCAGAGAGGTCAAGAAGAATTAGTATGGAGTAGTGGCCTTTGGATTTAGCTGCGATTAGGTCGTTAGTAACTTTGATAAGCGCCACTTGACTACAGCAATCCGCTTCTCAGTGGTCTTATGTGCTCCCAACGTGCCCTAGTGCAGTCTATAATGAATACAGCGGCAAGGCTCATCTTCCTGTCTGCCCGCACCTCCCACGCCTCACCCCTCTGTCAGTCCCTACATTGGTTTACCATAAGATATAGGGCTCAGTTTAAAATTCTGGCTCTTGCTTTCAAATCTCTACAAAATTCTGCTCCCACCTATGTATCCTCCCTAATACACAAATATGTCCCGTCTAGGCCCCTATGCTATGCCTAAGACCAAAGTGTATCTTCTGTCCGTACTTCCACATCTGATGCTCGCCTTCAAGACCGAGCATTCCCTTCCCTTCTCCGTTAGATGTTCACCCAGTTTCCACTTCTTCAAAAATTAATTAAACACTCACCTTGTCACAAAAGCATATCAATTAAACTGGTAGTGGCTCCCAACTGACTCCTCTCCTGCAACTGTCATTTAAAAAAAGAACACTAAGTCTTCAGTGAATACTATTCTCTCAATCTACTTCTCTACTCCCACCCTTACCTTTTTGTGTCACTTTACCCCACTCCCTCTAGCATGTAAGCTCATTAAGCAGAGCCCTCAACCCCTCTGTTCCTGTGTCCAACTCGTCCGGTTACAACTACATGTTTGTTAGTCCACACATTGTACAGCACTGTGGCGCTATATAAAAAAAATAATAATAATTAGTGGGATAATAGCTTCTTGATCTAATGAGATATCTGACTTCTGAAGTCAAGCAGGAATTTTTTCCTATTTTGTTGCAAAATTGGAAGCGTTTCAGACAGGGGGGAGGGGGTTTTGGCCATCTTTTGGATCAACAGCAAAAACAAATGTACAAATGTGAGGAAGGCTGAACTTGATGGAAGCATGTCTCTTTTCAGCTATGTAACTATGTAACATTTAGGGGAAAAAGTGAAACTTTTGTTAAAAATAAATGTTCTTTATGACCTGATAAGCAGCCAGTGTTTACCTTTTGTTAATAATTACATATTTAGCTGTGTTCTGGTTTACATAGGATTTATTCCATTAAGCTGCAGTTGTTAATGGTGGAGAGTAGCCATAAACCCAGAATGCACACACCAGATACAATAAATGTTCTAGATTCTGTAGTGTGATTGATCCTCCCGGCCGGTGTTCTATCAGAAAGACATACCCCGTGAAAGAGACATACCCTCGTCACTTCCGGTGACGCGGCCACACAGGAAGTGACGTCCAACCAATAGAGGAGGAGGTGTGCCGCATCGCGCATGCGCACAACCTCCAGGCAGAGAATGTTAACAGCGAGCTGGGGACATTAACGCCGCACTGCGCACGCGCGTCTAGTACTCCCGTCGGAGGTACACCGCGCGTGCGCAGTACTGGGGTAGGGAAATTTGATGGCCATTTCGCCTGTTAAATCTCCCTACCCCTATACTGCGCATGTGCGGACACAATCGACCGCGCGTGCGCAATGTGGGGTAGGGAAATTTCACAGGAGAAATGGCCATCAGATCTCCCTACCCCAGTACTGCGCACGCGCAGACTCCCATCATTGGATTCAAACAGGTCACCCCCTGCTCCCAACACCCTCAGCCATCCGAGGGGAGATTACAGTATATTGGGCCCGTACAGTGGCATTGAGGGGGTTCGCACAGTATGTGGCTTGAGGGGTCTGCACATGATATATAGGGGGTCTGCACAGTATATAGGGGTCTGCACAGTATATAGGGGGTACAGTATATAGGGGTCTGCCCAGTATATTGAGGGGGTCTGCACAGTATATTGAGGGGGCCCGCACAGTATATGGGGTCTGCACAGTATAGGGGGTCTGCACAGTATAGCCGAGGTAGGGTCTGCACAGTATGCAGGGTCTGCACAGTATATAGGGGGTCTGCACAGCATTGAGGGGGTCTGCACAGTATGTATGGGGGGTCTGCACAAAGTATAAAGGGGGTCTGCACAGTATATATGGGGGTCTGCGCTGTATGGGGGTCTGCGCTGTATGGGGGTCTGCGTGTATATGGGGGGGCTGCGCTGTCTATATTGGGGTGGCCTGTGTGTTAAATGTGGGGGGCAGTGTGTTAGATGGAGGGGCTGTTTGTTACATGTGGGGGGGCTGTGTTATATTTGGGGGCTGTGCGTTAGATGGGGAGCTGTACAGTACGTGTGGCCTGTGTGTTAGATGTGTACAACCCTAGTTTCATAGAAAAATATTTATTTCCTAGATATCATATGCCATGGCATGCTTTTTGCTATGAAACCGCAGCCATCTAGTCACTCGCCAGAGAAGGATGAGAAACTGCACCCCAGCGAGAGGGACAGCCCCACATCTGCAACCAAATCCGTCGGTCACCGAATTCAGTAATCTCCGTCTCTTTGTGCATTGTGTATGTATGGTACTCCCAATTCTTATATTTAATCTGGTGTGTCTCCCACAATCTTTGCGTCTGTCTGCTGTATGTATGTGGCACGCAAGTCTGCATGCACTGTGTCTGTTATGCCAGTTACTCTAACCAGTTTATTTCTTTTTGTGTGTGTCACAGCTCTGACAAGCATGTTCTCCTATGGGACACGAAGTACATGAAGAGGAATGAAGAAGCCCATGTTTAATGCTCGTCTCCAGGGTGGAGTATTGAATTTATAACTAATGAAGTGGCATCTGACACATGACAAGCTGCTCCTGTTTGCACAGCAACTTCAACATTGTGTACTGTGATCACGGCATAGTTCAGAGGTAGGTAACCTTGGGCAGTCCAGATGCTGTGAATTACATCTCCCATAATGCTGGCAAACCACCATGGGAGGTGTAGTGCAAAATATCTGGAATACCGAATGCGGATGAATGCAAAGTATGGTGTGTGTGAATGGTCAGTAACAAGGGTTGAAGCCTTGACGTGGCGTTACTGCTCACATGTGTATTCATGTGCCAATTCAACCAATGTGAGTCACTGTAATACTTATAAGGTAACCAAAAGTACCGTGATTGTGGAGAATGAAACGACTGTATCACCTACACACTGTTTACACTGTGACCGTATCTCCTACACACTGCTTACACTGTGACCGTATCTCCTATACACTGCTTACACTGTGACCGTATTTCCTAAACACTGCTTACACTGTGACCGTATCTCCTAAACACTGCTTACACTATGACCGTATCTCCTAAACACTGCTCACACTGTGACCCTATCGCCTAAACACTGCTAACACTGTAAGCACAGATATGTTTTTTATTTAAAATTGAAAGCGCTCGATCATTCTTTCTATTCTACGCCTCCAATCTTCAACATTGAAATTGTCATTTCTAATAATATAAAATAAGTATTATGCTTTTTGGTTACGATTTGGCGAGTTGTAACTATATTTTTTATTTTTACAGTTCCAGAGGGAAGGAGCAAACCGCTTTGAGGAGTCCATG